AGGGACATGGTGATAGATGGCGAGCGTGGCTGAAGATTTATAGGGACTGACTTCAGAAGTCCGCTCAGCTGTAGGACTCCCAACAAGTGGGCTGTGCTTTGTAGCCTGTAGACACAGCTTTCCAGGGGTGTGCTCCTTCCCAGGGTGGGGGTGCCGGCTAGGGAGGCTTCGGGTCTGCCTGGCAGAAGTGGGTCAATAGGAACAGTGCTGAAGGTCATAGCCCAGCCTCCATTTCTTTCCGCTTCCTGGTCAACTGCAAGACAGCTTTCTCGGCCACATCCTCTGCCGTGATGGACTGAGACCACCCCCCCCCCCCCCCAGAAACTGGGAGGTGGATTCGAATCGTTCCTCCCTGAGTCTTCTGTCAGGGACTCTGCCACAACCGTGTCCAAGGAGTAGATACAGGCTGAGGGAGTCCTGCTGATGTCTGGGACAGGCACCGTGATTAAGACTTTCCATTGATGCCGAGTCCAGCGGCCAGAGTTCTGTGCACATTTTTGTGCCTAGCCTTCCAATTGTCCAGTGAAGCAGCTGTGAGGACACTGATGCTGGAGGGCTGTTCCCAGCCCAAGGACTCACCACAGGTCACATCTTAGATCTGCCTCAAATTGCCCATCTCTAAAATGGCATCTAAAATCACCATCTTTTCTGACATACCAAGGATTCCTTTTCTTTTTCCATTTGTGTTGAAGCTGATGTTGGGAGTCAGCCTTGGTCACTCTTTTTCCTCACTGAGGTGGGGTCTCTCAATCCAATCCAGAGCTCACCCACATGGCTATTCTCTGGCCAGCTTGCTCTGAGGCTATCCTGTACTCTCCTCGGGATGCTGAAATTACAGGCAGGATCTACTCCCCTTGGCTACCAGGAGCTCATATACTTATAAATGCTAGGCACAGCCTGCAAATATTCTAGTGTTGGAGTCCAGGTTCCCATTGCCTTAAACCCCCAAAGTCTGGACTGTTTTGTTTTCCAAAAGGGCGCTCTCTGGTTCAGCCATTTGCTTTTTATTTCCCCAGGAGAAGCTTAAGCGTAGAAAAGTTGGCTGTGCAGTTCGTTACATCCCAGATTCTTGAAGCCACATACCTGGCACAGTACTGGAGCTGTGAGGGCTTTGTACCACTGCTCTAACAGATCACCACAAATCCAGTGGTTTAAAGACCACGTACGAGTATTCCCCTTATAGCTCAGAGAGTCATAAGTCTGAAATGGGTGGAAGCACTCCATGGTGGAAGCAGGTGCATTATGAATTCAAAGCTAGCCTGGGCTACATAGCAAGCTTGAAGCCAGCCTAGGCTACCTGAGACCATCTCAAAAACCCGACTAAATCAAGCAAAACAGAATGTTTATAAAACTTGGACATTTTATCAACGTTGGCCCCATCTGTTCTTGGACTTCCAAGGTGGTCTCAAAGGCTGTGGCTCCTGGGTTGTATCTCCTGTTCCATTTGGGTGTGTGTGTGTGTCTTAAAGGCTTTCTACAGCCAGACCTCAGAACAAGGACGGTCTTCCTCCCAAGTCTCCCTCTTTCCATGTGCTCGCGTTGGAAATATCTTGAAAGAGGCATCTATTTTTCTTCCCCTGAGATGAAGGCAGCCGCGCTGGGCAAGACTCTGCCTTGTTATCAGAAAATTAGGGTGGGAAAGAGGTTTCCACGCAGCTACGGAGACATCTTAATAGACGCTTTGGTTGTTAAGCAGAAGTTCCTAGATGGGTTTAATTGCCGTAAATGTTATTTGCCTTCCCTGTTATGATAAGGCCTCGAGTCTCCATATCTCTTTCCCCCCTCCCTCTTCCCTGTCAACCATTTGCCTTTGCTCTGAGGCTCGCACTGGCAAGTTTAGTGAAACTCAAACAAAGGAAGCAGAGAGAGGCCGCTGGAGTTCGAGTCTCACGCCCACAGACGAAGCCGAGCCTAGGGAGCGAAGCCTCCAGACTAATGAGGCTTTGCAGCTTAATGCAGTTGACAGGATGTACCCCTCCAGCTGAGCCTGGAACGGGAAAGCCAGTCCCGGAGCTTAATTGCTTCTGCCCTGGGCAAAGGGGACGGATGAGGACTAAGCAAGACACAGAGCTAATGGGAGATGCTCATAGCCCAAGATGACTCATTCTGTGCCCGAAGGAGCCTGGGGGCATCATCTGAGATGCTTTATTGGGCGGGGGGCAGGCAGTTATAGAAACTTCCAGATCAAGAGTCCCAACCTTGATGTAACTGATACTCGGGATGTTTTAAGTTGTTGCGTGTATGGGGAAAGTTCTCACCTATGTATTAAGGGATGCTGAATAGAGCCTCTGGCTTTATCCCACTAGCTGCCAGTAACAAACTCCCAAGCACAGTATGATACCTTCAGAATGTCTTCAGAAATTTCCAAATATTTCACGGGAGCTGGGGATCTGAACTCAGGTCCTCATGCTCATACAGTAGGCACTTTACCCAAAGCACCGTCTCCCTGGTCCCTTTAGGGAGTATATTTACACATGCTTCTCCTAGCACCTGGCTGTGTGACCTTGACTAGGTCAGTGCACCTCCTTGAGTTCCCTGGCCTTCCTTTGTACAAAGGGAATAGCTACGGCACAGGATGCAAGGAGGCATAGCTTCTGGCTTTAAGTACACACAGAAGATTTCTTGGCACATACTAAGTGTTCAATAAATTGTTTCTGTTGTAAGAATCTTGGTTTCATCAAACTTGTGCTAAGAACATACTTACCCCTAGGCACTATGCTCCGAGGTGAATTCAAAGGTGTAGATTTGGTTCTTGCTTTTGTAGAGGAGGTAAATGTATACACGACATGTGAGGGACTACCTCCTTCCTCACTCATGGCAGACATTACTAATCAATCTCGAGACTTGTAAGGACTACCTCCTTCCTCACCCATGGCAGACATTAATAATCAGTCTCAAGACTTGTTAGGAGTACCTCCTTCCTCACTTATGGCTGATATTAGTAATTAATCTCGCTGCTCTTCCTCTCAGTTCTTCTCAACTAACCTTTGTCAGACATTACTAATGGCCTATGAGTGGACTCTCATTCAGTACTTCCTGTTTTGTAGATTACTCACAGGAGATTGACCTTCCTTTCCTGTCCAGCCTTTCAGAGTTAATGAGTAATGTTTTTCTTCCTGTGTCTGATGTCAGTCTACAAGAGGAGTTGACATGGAAAAGTTTTTTTTTTTTAATTTTTAAAAATTTTTTCTCTTGCCAGGCGTGGTGGCGCACGCCTTTAATCCCAGCACTTGGGAGGCAGAGGCAGGTGGATCTCTGTGAGTTCGAGGCCAGCCTGGTCTACAGAGTGAGATCCAGGAAAGGCGCAAAGCTACACAGAGAAACCCTGTCTCGAAAAAAACAAAAAAAAAAAAATTTTTTTTTTCTCTTTGCATGTCTGTGTGAGGGTGTCAGATCTTGGAGTTACAGACAGTTGTGAGCTGCCATGTGGGTGCTGAGAATTGAACCTGGGTCCTCTGGAAGAGCAGTCAGTGCTCTTAACCGCTGAGCCATCTCTCCAGCCCGGAAAAGTATTTTTAAAGAACATCATTTTTTCTCATTTTCTATCTCCCTCAGAAACTGGATGAAGTAGTAAAATGGGCTGTGTTAGTTAAACATTCTGCAGGCTGGGGGGCTTATGACTATCACGCCACCTCCTCAGTTTTCTTCAGCATTTGGGGCTTGGAAAACCATCGGCTCTTGCCAGAAAAAGGGTCCCAGCTTTGCAAGGGCGGCATAGAGATCTCGGAAACAGCTTTCAGATGACTGTGGCCATCACTAGGCAGAAGAGAGAGATGACCAGGGTTAAAGGTTCTCCAACGTGTTCTGACATGCCCAGATCTCCCAGTGAGAGCGACACTCCATAACAATGGCTGTGAAAAATGAGGCACACATCTGCAGCCCTGAAGTCCCCAGCAGGCTCCATCCATCTGGCTGAGAAGTGGGCGCTGGCGTGGGGTTGGCCACTTGCCTCTCTCCCTGTCTGTCTGAGGCAGCACTAGTTCACTCAGCTGCTGTTTTATGTCTAACTGCCTGCAAGGTCTTCCAGGAGGCTGGTGAGCGGGGCGGGCAGCAGTGGAGGTGTGCTGGGGCTTATGCTCAAGGTCTCAGAGGACCTAGAACTTGGTCATTTGCGACGATGTGGTTTTGCTCCTATTTGGCCTAAGGCATGAAAAAAAATGAAAGAAAGAAAAGAAAAAGCAGGACCAGGTACCCAGTCTGAAGTCTGGGTGCTTTATTGTTTTTCTCATTCTTATTTGTCCATCCGTCCATCCACCCACCCAGCATTATCCATCCATACATGTAGCCATCCGCCTATCCATCTATCCTCCATCACAAACCTCCTTCATCCATCTACCGACTTAGCTACCCATCCTTTATCCATCCAGGTATCCTTCCTTCCTCCATCCCGTTCACCTAGACATCCTTGCACTCACTTGCTCATTCTAGTTATGGGTTGAGATTGCACACAGCTGGACATTCTGAAAATCGTTATCAGCAATATCTGAAGAGCTTTCTGTTCAGCTTTGTGTTTGTTGGTGTATTACTTTTTGTTTGTTTGTTTGTTTGTTTTTTCCGAGACAGGTTTTCTTTGTGTAGTTTTGGAGCCTGTCCTGGATCTCACTCTGTAGACCAGGCTGGCCTCAAACTCACAGAGATCCACCTGCCTCTGCCTCCGGAGTGCTGGGATTAAAGGTGTGTGCCACCACCGCCCAGGCTTTTTTTCTTTCTGAAACAGAATATTACCCTGCAGCCCAGGATGACCTTGAACTCATCATTATCATCCTGCCTCAGCCTGAACAGTGCAATGACAGGTGGGCTTTCCCATACCTGACCTCAGTTGACATATTTGATGGCATCTGCTGCCTGCCCTGCCTGGGGAGCCTCCTGTGAGTGGAGCCCGTGACCCAAACTGGAGCTCTACCTGGCGTGAGGCCAGTGGATGGGGGCTCCCTTTTATTTCCAGCGCCCAGGTAGAGCTGGCTCAGCCCTTGACCTTCCTGTCTGTTTTGTCTCCTCAGACACACTGTCTGTACCACGGTGGTCACCACAGATCCCACGCAGAGACCTTGGCAACTCCATCAAGCACAGGTAGGTAGGAGGCTGTGCCTGTGTGTATGTGTGTGGGGGGGTAGGGGGTGCTGAACCTATGGGTGCCAGGAATGTGCCCATCCCCAGCTTCCACACCACCACACCCTTCTGTCTTTTGTTGGATTGAGGTGTCTGCATCATACCCTCGCCCTTATCAAATCCACACAGGACAGTTAAAAAGCAGAGGTCTTATGCTCAGACTGACCTGAGTTCTGTTTTCCTCCTACTAAAGCTTTGTAGCCGTGAGAAATTGCTTAACGTCTCTGGACTCCATTTTTTTTAAATGTCATTTTTATTATCAAAAAAAATCACACGGCATACAATGAAATAAAGGAAGGCCCTGGGATATCATAATCAAGACCTTTAAAGAAATAACATGAAGCCGGGCGGTGGTGGCGCATGCCTTTAATGCCAGCACTCGGGAGGCAGAGGCAGGCGGATCTCTGTGAGTTCGAGGCCAGCCTGGGCTACCAATTGAGTTCCAGGAAAGGCGCAAAGCTACACAGAGAAACCCTGTCTCGAAAAACCAAAAAAAAAAAAAAAAAAGAAAAAAGAAAAGAAATAACATGAAACTGTACATCCATGAAACAGGTTTAGCAGGTTACAGAGTGTGGCATCAAAGTTAGAGAGAAACTTTTTTTTTCCTGTAGGGATAAGTTCATACATTCTACCTACAAAATGAGACGGTATATTAAGGGCCGTACACACACCTCACTGTATCATAAAGGACTTCAGGCTCCACGTGGGGGCTCTTCACCCGGGAAACTCATTTAGATGGCCAGCTAAACTCATTTTTAGAGGTTACCCCAGAGCAGGGGGCCAGCAGGAGGCCTTCCCCAGGATCCTCCATGGCCTAGAATTTGTTTCCAACAACTTCTTGACTCTCTCAAATTCAGCTTTCTACATATGGCCGCAATTTCCTCACAGACTCACGGGGGGGTGGGGGGGGGAGGCGCAGAGTCAGACCAGGATGGGGGAACTCACTGATAGATGAGGAGACTTAGGCCCTGGCAGATGAGGGAGGGGACTGACCGGTAATTATAGCATAATTAGCTCGGCCCCTGTGATCTGAGATCCCCCCTGGTGAGTTTCTGTACCCAGGGGAGCCAGCTGGATGTTTTGCTTGCTCCTTCATGGAGCTATCCCTCCAACTTGCAGATTCCCAGTGTCCGTGCTGTGGGACATGGGTCTGTGTCCCTGGGGAGCTGGCCAGTTAACAGAGGGACCTCAACAAGCCCCAGAGGTCTGTCAGCGGGCTGCGGGGAGAAAACCCAGGCACAGACACACACAGCCTCAGCCTGGAGCAAGGCTGCACTCACCCCGAGACAGCTCATCATCAGTTCTTAAAGAAAAAAAAAATGTCACAACTGGAAACTGGAAAGACCTTGATGGAAGCCGTGAGATGTAGTGACAGACAGGTCCGTCCGTGACTAGAGGCTGATCTGTGGAGCGAAGAGGACTCAGATGAGGGCCTTTTCAAATGTTTATTGGTTCAGCTCCACCCCTGGGTTGGCCACAATCCCTGGTTCAGCTCATCCCTGGGTTCAGTTCCCCCTCTGTATCAGATGCCTCTCTGGCCCAGCCACCCCTCCAGTTTGGTCACACTGTGGCTCAGCCACACCCCTGGGTTGGCTACCCTTTTGCCTCAGTCTCACCTGACTGGCTCTACCCTCTGGGCTTTCTTACCATTGCCCTGGTGCCCCACCTTTGGATGCTGATGTCCAGGGGAGTGAAGCAGGCTGACCATCTCCGGGCCCCATAGCTGGCTTCCTAGTGAGGTGACAGCCCCTTGATGGGTGTTACTCTTCAGCCTCACCCTGCATTCCCCCCCAACCCCACCCCAGGCTAGATGTCAGGAATGAGAGACCCCCCCAGCCTTGAAAAGAAACATGTGCTAACATCCCATTCCCTAGGTTGTCAGGTCTAGTGGTATACACTAGCAGTCCCAGCACACGGGAGGGTAAGGCAGAGAGTTAAGAGTTCAAAGATAGCCTGGGCATCATGAAAAAATCCTGTCTCACAAAAAACACCCACCACCCGCAGCAGATCTCACTCTGTCATTGGAATTATCACAGCAAGAGCCAGGCAACAGGACAAAGCCAGGCAACCCAGGGGACAGGCCAAAGCTGAAGAGGGGAGACATCTGCCAGCGGACCCTCACACCTGCCCCCCCCCCCATTCCTGCCTTGCTGCCCGGTGGGTCTTTTGCCATCTCCTCCCCTGAGCTGCCCCAGCTTGCAGAACAGACCCGATAAGCCCTGCTTATCCCAAACCCCAAAGGGGCTTAACTAAGCCCAAGTCCAAAGCTGGAGAGGGAGCATCAGCAAGCCAGCATCTCCGTGGTGAATATTGCTGTTTGCTTAGCTGTGGCAGCTCCAGGCTGAAGCTGGCTGGCTGTGCTCGAAGGGCTGACCCAGATCCCAAAAGAGGGGATGGCAGCGGAGGGGAGCCAGCTTCCCCCCTCAGAGTTCTCCATCTCTGAGTTACATAACCTCCAAGGTTCCCCTTTGGCACTCGGAGGAGGCAGTGGAGATTACATACAACCATTGCCGAGGGTGGCACAAATTGAAAATTAAAATTAACTGTGACCCGGGAACCTTCAATACTTTTGCCGGATCCAGCCGCTCCTCTGTCTCCTATCTCAAGGCGGGAAGCACAGCCCAGCACAGGAGGGGTGATCGGAGAGTTAATCTGATGCCTTCCAACTGGCCTTGGTGACCTCGCTGTGTGGGGACTTCCACACTGTATTTGCAGCAGGTGACGGTGACTGGGGGAAGGTGAACCAACCGAGGGTGTCTGAAGAGGCAGGCTTTCATTGGTCAGGGGCAGCTCTCCTCTGCTCCTGAATTTGGAGGTTCACTGCTCGCTTATAGAATTGAACTTGCAGGCCACCTACGGTGTTTGTCGAGTGAATAAATGACCATAATGAACACTCAAGGTAATGACTGACACAGACCGATTCATTGAGCGTTACCTGTGTGCCAGGTGTTAGGACACCTTCAACATATAACCCCCGAGGTCGATGTCAAGATTACTTCCACTTTATAGGCAAGGATACTGAAGCTTCCTGGTTTAAGCAAACTTAATTGAACTTAATTATCACCTGTTTGGAACAAGCAGGACCAGAATCCAGGGTTTATAGGCTTCCCGTCATCCCCTCTTGCGGGATCTAGGGGTACATCTTCCTGGAGATGGGCCCACGGCCACTGCCTCACCTTGGACATCTCCCCTTTCTTTCTTACAGGTTTTCCACCAAGTACTGGATGTCTCAGACGTGCACGGTCTGCGGGAAAGGGATGCTTTTTGGCCTCAAGTGTAAAAACTGCAAGTGAGTGATTTCCCTTTAAAAGACTTTTTACAATACCAGATATCAGGCGGCGCTCGGATGGGCTTTGGCACTCTCCAGGGAGTTGTGAGTTCTTGACCCTGAGGAGAGACATTTGCTTTGTGTTTCAGAAAGGGTCCCAGGTGAAGCTGTGTGTTTGGGTAGGGTATCGAGGAGAACGGTTCTGAGTAAAGCCAGAGCTGAGAAGAGACGGTAGAAGGCTAACAACACCATGTGCTGGGGCTCGTGGGGTCTCCTGTGCTCACAGCCTTTACTGTGGTTTTGAATGTGAAGTGTTTCGCACCGTCTCATGTTATGGGATGCTTGGTCCCCAGCTAATGTTTCGGGTCCTTTCGAACATGGGGTGGGGGCCTGGCTGGCAGACATTGGGTTATAGGAATAGGGGTTAACTGTTCTAGGCCAGCTCCCCTTCTGCCCCAACTCTGCTTCCTCACTGCTGCTATGACACGACCTCATGCTCCCACCACCAGGCTTTCCTACCGTGGTGGACTGTGTCCCCTGATTTCTAGTTTCTCCACGTATTCTGTCACAGAAACAGTAACTAATACAGTGTCAGAGGTTAGTGTCAGCAAACTTTTCTTTTTTTTCTAAAGTATTTGTTACAAAGCCTGTAACAAATACTTGAGGCTCCATGGTTCTCGGGAGCCTTCATGTTTCCCTTGAAGCTTCTCAAAACTGATTCATGTATTTTGAAAGTAGCCACAGACAGTTCAGAAAGAGTTATGGCCATGGATTCAGTCCAATAAAACTTTATTTATAAAAACAGTGGATAGCCTGGCTCCAGTCCTGTGGCTTGCTGATACCTTTGGTAATTTGCAAAGTTCTTTTTCTTCTCTTCTTTCTCATCATGCACTGTCTCCAAAAGGGTGCTATGACTTCCCCATTTTATGTCTGTAAAAATTGTGTCTCGACTTGGAAAAGTCCCAGCTAAGAAGTAGGAGGGAGGATTTGAACTCAGGTCCCTTAACTCCTGCTCCATTTCTCTCTATGGCTTCATGTTGGATGCTAATTCTGGTTAAGAGGTGGGAGCACCCAGACCTCCACTCCTTCCCCCTTCCCTATAGATGTTCTCTGTCATTCTGATGGGAGGTTAGGAAGGAGGCAAGAGAAGGCATCGGCACCAGCCATGGGCTCTGGAGGCACAGTAAACCAGGTTCAAATCCTGTTCCTGCCACTTAGTAGCTGTGTAAATAACATGGGCACATCACCGCATATATTTGTCCTCACATTTGTGTGTGTGTGTGTGTGTGTGTGTGTGTGTATGCACACATGTATTAACTACCTACTCAGGTCCAACAATTACAAAACAGAAACATTTGACTATGGAAAAGATAGGGGTGGACATGTGTCTGCTTGATAGGAGACACTTAGTAAGAGTCTCCCCTGCCCCCCCCCTGTGTGTGTGTGTGTGTGTGTGTGTGTGTGTGTGTGTGTGTGTGTGTGTCCTAGGCCTGTTCAGGCATCTTGCAGAATGCCTTTCTGGTGGCCTCACCTGAGTAAGTCCGCCACACTGAGCTCCCTGCTAGCCTGGGCTATGGGGAGAGTTAATTATTTTCAGCCCCTGGGGATCGGTTGGTTCCACGGTCTAAGGGTGATTGGGATAGTAATTGCTGAATATTAGCATTTGGAACTGCTGTCTTCTGTGGTTCTGGGCTCTCAGGTGACCCCCCCCCCCAGCTTCCCGACTCTGAGATGTGCATGGGCAGGTGCTTAGGTCCGGCTCAGAGCTGCCCGATCCCCCCAGTGCAGCTACTGCCTTGGAGACATCTTGGCTGTATCAATTCATGCTGTGTTCTGTGGGGGGGGGGAAGGGGGGATGGCTTTCACATCCTCACACTTGCTGCCTGGAGGCTTTGAAGTCAAGTAATTAGGTGACAGGGACGCAGCCAGGAGTCAGCAAGGCTGAACACTCCTCAAGCCTTTTCAATTTTCAGCACTAGAGGTGGGACCCAGAGGCGGCCTTCCTCCCTGTCTTCTGTTCAAGGAATTGTAATGAGCAAAGGCTGAGACCCTGCCAAGGGTTGGGAGAGTGGGCTGGGGACAGGCCGGCCGCGTGGAGCTGAGGCTCTGGAAGCCACCACCAGCACTAAGTTTGGGTCCCATTTCTGCTTGAAGTCTTAAGAGGCCTGCAATGTTGGGATTTTTCTCCTCTGAAGAGCAGACATGATAGTGGCGCCCATCACTGGATTGCACGAAGGAGTCACCGAAATGCCCTCGCCTCACACTCTCATCAGGGACCATTTCCCCCAGTGCCTCTCACATCGCCTTATGCAAAGTAGCTCCTGGCACATGGAAGGGCGAGGTCAGAATTCATGACTTCACCAATGTGCTCGACCCTTCTGGCTCTAATGATTGCTGCTGCAGCTGGCATGGTGTCCGGGTGTGCTTTTGTCCCAACCACATACCTCTGTCGGCTATGACGGGAACAGGAGCCAGCTCCATGATGTATTTGTACACACACACACTGAAGTTAACAGTTGAAACCCACACTTATCCCCCGGATAAAACCCCTCGGGGAGCCTCACTTAAAGTGAGGGAGTAGGCGTTTATTTGCATGTGTTTTCAAGGACTGACAAAAATGTGGACACATTGGATGGGCTCCTAGGAGGGTTGGTGGGGGGTAGGAACAGATAATATGCAGGCTCCATGGTCGCAGAGTTAGGGGAAAGACTCAACGTGGAGAAATGAGTCTGAGTGGAACCGAAGGACAGGAACGAAGAACAGTGGCAAGTGACCTTTCAGAGAGGTGACCCAGAGGATGAGGAGGTTAGAGGTCACTTCTTAAAGAAGTGGGAAAGGCCATTTCACCAGTCATTCACCTAATATTTACCAGTTGGATAATTAATATCACAGGCTAAGAAGTTATTATCTGTAGTGCTTGGGACCAAAGGTATTTTTTATGTTTGAAAGGCATTCTGAGTTTAGAGGATCCGCATCATGCAAACCTTTGCCTATGTGATGAGGTGTCTTAGAGTTGGGACCCAAGTTTAAACCCCGAAAGCCTAAACTTCATTTGTGCACTGCTTTTAGAAACTCAAATTTCAGTTCTGAGGTTAGGCGTGGGGTGCTCCACCTGTGGACCTGCGGGTGCTCCACCTGTGGACCTGCGGGTGCTCCACCTGTGGACCTGCAGGTGCTCAGGAAGTTTCAAATAAGAGGCCATTTTGGACTTCAGGTTTTTGAACCAAGGAAGTTCAATTTTAAAACATTAATACTCTGTACCGAAGGGTTTTCCAGGCGCCAGAAGCAACAATAAGAAGATAAAATGGACAAAGTCCCTGGACTGGTGGAATTTACCTGTGGGTGGGTAGTGGGGTGGGTAGATGGTGCATGAAGTGAACTTGGCTAAAAAGATGGCGGAATGGGATGATGTTGGCCGCTGTAAAGAGCAGAGCGGACATGGCACCATGCACTCCCAGGGACTTGTCATCCCAGTACTCATGAGGCAGAGGCAGGAGGGGGCTGGGGTTGGGGAGCAGCCTGGGCTGTAGAGTGAGACCCTGTTGAAGCTGTTGAAAGAAAGAGACAAAGAAAGAGGAAGGGAGAGAGAAGAGAGGAGGGAAGGAGGGAGGGAAGAGAGGGAGGAAGGAAAGAAAGAAGGAAGAGGGAGGGAAGGGAGGGAG